AGCAAGAGTCCATCTCTTACAGGGGCTGCCCTTGGTACCACCATGGCGCGCACTGCAGGAACTGTGTGGAACACGGTTCAGGCCTTGCAGAGTTCTCTGGTCCTTGCCAAGCTCAGTGACTGAGCTCAGAGCACACAGACAGGCAGAGCTGGTCCCCATCCTTGCTCACATGTTTAATTTCTGTGGTTCACAGTGAACTTTATTCAGGGTTCACTCGTGCCAACGCAATTTGTCTATGTTGCTTCAAGGAGAGGTTTGAGAGGGAAATGAAGGACGTGTTGTTTTAACAATTCTGAAAAAATAAGATCATTTACAAAGGAAACAGGAGATCAGGCAGGGTTTAAGTTCGTGTAATTTGATGAGCTTCAGTGGGAATTGTGAGTATTCAGGTCTGGCCAAGTTTCTGAGAGGCAGTGGAATGACTCTGCTCCCTCAACAAGCTCTGAATTGTGCCACATACATTTAACAGGAGTTGGTGCACAGCTGCTGTGCTGAGCAGACAGCTGAGGGAGAGAGATAATTAATATTTTTGGATGAAGCCTATTTTGTGCCATTCAAGAAGTGTCAGTGTATCCACCTACCAGGAACTTTTTGGAAATCAAACATTCTTTGTCTGCAAGTAATTCCATTAAATATCAGTTGAAATTTAGAAGGTAAATGTTTCTGAAAGGAAGACATCACACAAAACAGAGCAAGTTTCACAACCATAATACCTTAGAAATAAGCACACTTTTAACTCCTGTGCCTTCTCATCAGCCAGGCTGTGTTTGGAACTCTAAAACTGTTTCCTGACATGCAAACCTGTGAACTGCAGATTCATGCTGGAGGAGGGAGGCTGCTAGCCAGGAGAAGTGAGAAGCAGTGATCAATTATGTAGGGAATAAAAATTTAAACATTGTAAAACATCGCTTGGTATTTCACAGATGTGTTAGAGAAAAATGGTTTTTGTATAGAAATCTCAAAGTGAAAATGTGTCAGGAAAGGCTTGTAGCTTTTAGCAGGATCTCTGCACACAGTGTGGATCCAGAGAACACACTCGAAAGTTTCGCTTATAAGCTTTGTGATTTCCAACGAATTTTACAAATGTACCAAACAAAGAGAAATTAATTTCCTGAATGCTAAAATGAGGGGGACTGGGAAATACTTTGTCCAATACTCAGGTGTGTATAAATATCAGAGTAAGCAGTGGCCAGTGTAATGTACTTCTAAAAATGCTCTGTCACATTTACTGAATGGCTGGAGTTCTCCCTGATGCCTTCTGCTTAGAAAAACACCCAAAATCTGGGATCTGACAGCTCAACTCCACTTTAGAAATAATATTTCCCCAAGTCATGGCATTGGCTTCCGTGCAAGTTTCAGCAGAAGGGGAGAATGGGCAAGGCAATTTCTAGCTCCAAGCAACATTCAGGGTTTGTTGAGACTCTTGGGGATTTATCTCCTCTGTTAAGAACTATGATAGAGAGAAAATGTGGCCTTGAGATTTGGCATTTCCAGTGTTGCATTTGATACCCAGACAGCAGGAGCTGGGTTGATTTTTGTTTCTCATTCACCAAGTATTTGTTTATGAAATGGCAAAATAATGTGAATTTGCCAGGAGGAGAAGAGATATGGATGATGTGTCTCCTGTGCCTGGGCCTCATTCAGGGACATCTGTGACTTCACACACAGATCAGTCTTCCAAAAACATCCCTGCAATAACTGCAGCACTCCCCAGTCATGTTCCTTGGTAACAGCATATGTGTGAAAATCACTCTGCTTTTTTGGTTATAAAGATGAAAAGCCATTTAGAAAATATGAAAATAATGCTGTGAATTTCAGCACTTAAATACTACCCAATAACTCAGCTTCTACACTCGTGTATTTCCATGGATGCATCATTTGAAACTTGTGATTAATGAGATCAAACTCAGTAGGATGTTCAGGGGATCAGGGCCTGTTTAAATCTGGGAATTTGAATTATTCTGGGAATATTTGCTTATTTTTCCTTCTAAAGATGTATGCAAATTTTTTACGTGCTCCTGAGTGGAATAAAAATGGGTAAAGAAGTAATTTTGAAGTTGTAGAGGTAATGCACAATCTCTGAGCCTTGGAACACTTGGGGAATCCCTCTCTATTTACTGCAGAACAGCTGCCATTCCCCAGGGAGATGTGGAGCTGTGGAATGTGTGGAGAAGTAGTCATCCCTAGTATATTTAAAAAAAAAACCACTTCTGATTGGAATTCCTGGCTGGGTTTCTCGATTCCTGATGTCCTGAGAGAGTTATTTTCAAATTAATTGTAATATGCAAACATATTGCTTGTACATGATAGTGATTTATGGTAATTGGAATGCTGATGGGAAAAAACCCTCTTAGACCATTTAATGAGCACCTGTGAAATGATGGAATGCTTGCAGCAGCATCCCAAGGAATGCCTGTGAGATTTTCCCTCCACAGCTGGGAGACTGGGGCATCGCTATTGGGATATAAATGGAGAACCTGTGCAAGGGCAGGGCAGGTACCTGGAACCAGCTCGTGGGGCAGCTGGTGTTGAGAGTGGCTCAGCAGTGTCAATAAGGAGCTTGAAATGTGGCTGTGTTTCATTATTGTTAGCAGATATCATGATTTATTGGTCTGGTTTGGAACAGTGGAATGAAAGGAGTTTCTCTGGGGGCTGAGGAGGGAACCCAGCACCGTGTGTGGTGCCAGTGCAGCTCTGTCCGACACAGTCAGGGCTGGCACATTCCCTCCAAGGCCCCCAGACATTTTACAGCACTTTTAGCACCAATTTCTGCAGGAATTACTAACTTCTGCAGGACAGAAAATCACAGAAAATCACATTTCTGGGGAGGCTGTGCAGTAATCAGGAGATGAAAGCTGAATGATCCAGGCAGCCAATGAGCTAGCAGGATCTCAATGCCAGAACAATTAATACATGATGAGAAATCAATCAGCGCCACGATACGGGATAAGCACAGCACGTTCCTGTGGTGTTTGTGTGATCCTGGCAGTGCAAACACCCTGTGTCAGCTGGGATTTGCTGCTCTGGGTGTTTGCTGGTGCTCCTGGAGCCTCGATACCTGATTTGGTGCTCCTGGAGCCCTGATACCTGATTTGGTGCTCCTGGAGCCCTGATACCTGATTTAATGCTCCTGGAGCCCCGATACCTGATTTGGTGCTCCTGGAGCCCTGATGCCTGGTTCTGTTTGGGGCAGGAGTGGGGCTGTCTGTAATCACCAGTGCCTGGCTCTGGCAGCCCTGGCACCAATGTTCTCACATGAGAGCCACTGCAAGGAAAGGGGCATGGCAGAGCTCACTGCCAGGGGCTTGCTGGTTGTTTTTGCTTTTTGGAAATGAGATTTCAAAGCAGGTTGTGAAGGTATTTGTGTCATTACTTTTGTGTAGTAAGTTTTTTTGCTTATATTTCAATAATCCTTTGCCTGGTTTATAAATGGTGAGCTGAGACAAGAAGCAATTAAACCCACCATCAAACAGAAGGGGAACACAGTTCAGCTCTCCGGCTCTCTTGATGCATTCATTTTTGATGGTCTGTGGTTTTGGTAGCATTGACCAGCTGGACATGCTTGTGCTTTCTTCACTTGGTGTCCTTTCTGCAGAACAAGGGGCTGAGAATCTCTAAGAGCAAGGCCTGACACAAGAATTCTGATACCTCCCTTCAAAAGGAGGGATTATTTCAGAACAATAAGTTGACTCAGGAAGGTCCTGACCATGCTTCATTTTTTCTGATTTTTGTGGCGATCATGCTTGGCCCAGGCAGCGTTACCCTGCTGGAAGGTGCCTGTGGCTTCCCAGTGGTGAAGATAACAAATATCTTCCAGGCAAAGAAAACCAGCCCTGTGAAGAAGCTCCTGGTTGATATCTGCTTGAACAAAAAAGACATAAAGTTGAAAGAGCAAAGTTGGAGGGAAAACGTTTTGATTAAGTTTGCCTCATATGCTGGTGTGCTATAACATTAACAGTGGCTTCTTTATTCTCTTTCTGTTTGTCCCAATAATGAAGGAATCATCTACAGGCTGCAGGTCACATCTGTGTTCTTAAAGATGCTTTCATGTATGGAAGTGCAGCTGAAATAGCAAACCTGACCTCCTCAGACAAGTTTGATGCAGCCCTGGCCATTCACCTCTATAAAGGAGGCAGACTGCTGCAAGGTAATCCTCCTCCTGCTTTGCAATAAAAATACCTCCCAAAAAGTCCTGCAGGGGAAGAGAATGAATCCTAGCTGCTACACATGGCTGTAAATGTACAAACCCACACAGAATATCCTCTCTCTGTTTATCCATTTCAGCAAACGTTCAGAAATGCTAAAAATCCCTCTCGATGGGAGATCTGATAGAGAGAGAACTAAATAAATGTACTTTTAAACCACATGGTGCTCTTGGTAATTAAGTGCTTTAACTACATCAGGATGAGAGCATTACATTAACATTAGATCCTTTCAGTGAATGTGTTCTTTCAGAGGACAATGGCTTGGCTAAGGAGAGCTGGGCTCAAATGGAAGGAAGCAGGGAGGATAATTTCATTTTTCTGCTCAAAAATGAGTCAGGGTTTTTCAACGTGAAATAACATTCCTGTCAGCCAGACTGCAGGAGACAGGATGTTATCAGACAAATAATAAAATTTTCTATTCTCTTTAGCCACGGAGAACAAAATTTTAGCCTGCCACTAATGATAGACTGGGAGCACTGGCTCTGAGAATTACAGACAGTAATTTCACCTGCTGAAATTGCACTTTGTGCATCCTCAGCTGAGAGCACCCTGAGTTACAGGAATCTGTCCAAAGGCACAGAACTGCACCTTCCACTGATCTCTGGGCTTGGTTTGGATTTCAGCAGTGCCCCCACTGTTCTGGGGGTTTGCAGACAGCCTGAATTTCTGTGTCTGCTCTGCTGGGCTGCTTCTGCCCCACAGGGGCTCTGGTTTCAGCAGGGACCTGAAATACAAACACAAAAAGTACAAATACAATATATAAATGTAAAATAAACTATGCTCACATATGAATTAAGGCTTGTTGGAACATGGAGATGATTGGGTTTTTTGACAAGACCTTGAATTGTTTTGGAGGAAGCACATGGAAAGTCTGAGCACCATCTTTTTTGGGTTTTTTGGGGATTTTTGCTGAGGAACAGAAGATAAAGTTGAATTGTAATGTTCATTGGAGTACAGTTTTACTGGAGTTTAACTTGCATGGCAATGCCCAAGTGCTGTTTCTGTTATCTTTTCAAACTCCCAAGTGACCTAAAAGCCTGATACCTTACAAAAGCTCAGGAGTTTCAATAAATCAGTTACACTGCTCTAAAAAGTATCTGCAGTGACTGAAAGAGAAATAAACCAGAAATCTCTGCAAGGCAGGGCAGTACTAGTAAGGTTGCTTAGATTATCACAGTCAAAGTGTAAAGGTTATCACAGACTTTGGGACAAAATAGGGATCCAGAGAACATTCCTGGCTCCTGGAACATTTAGAAATTTAGTGATTGCACTACCATTGCTGCCACACTATTGATCTGCTTGGCCTCATCCTGCAAATTCTGTTTACAGGATCAGCACACCCAATAGATGGCATCATAATTATTCACTTTTTAAATTTATGACAGAGGCAGTGCATATTTTAATGGTGTTACAGACAGTCTGTCTCTGGAAGATTAGAGGCAGTGGTGCTTTGATAGTGCACATCAATTCCCTCCACCTGCAAACATTAGAGTGTGATATCAACAAGTGCCAAGGAAATTCTCCAAGTAGCCAGAATGGTAATTAGTCTTTCGTTCTTTTTGCTTGCTCTCTCATTTAGTAATGAGGAAATTAGCAATGCTAAAACATCCTGATCTTACAGCTCACTTAACTTTCAAATACAAATTGAAATCAATGGTACATTTTCTGTTTTTATCAACAGACTTTGTTTTCCATTTGGTTTGATGTCCTGTGAAAATGCAGTTATTGTGTGTGGGGCTACAGTACTAAAAAAATAAACATTCAAGTTTCCTTTTCAGAGATTTTTGCTCAGATAGGTGATTCAGTGCTATCAATGCACTTTTTCACTCTGGTCACGACATATTGGCCCCCTTCTGATTGCTTTGCAGGGAGCAGAATTCCCTTTGGGATCATCTTTGGTGGGACAGATGTCAATGAAGACGTGAAATGCAAAGAGAAGCGCCAGGTGATGGGAGCAGTGCTGGAGAGAGCCAGGTAAGGGCAGGGTGGGAGGTTTCTGACAGGAAATTGCATTTTTGAGGCAGATCTTTAGGAAGTTTCCACACACACTTGGAAGCACTGGAAGGTGTGGAGGCCAGCAGAAAACCCTGGAGTGCTGAAATCCTGGTGACCTTTACCTGTGTTTGTGATTCACTGGTGGAGGGGGAGCAGTTTGATCAGAAAATGCAGCCTGGTTGTTTGGGATTGCCCTGCTCCTCACACACACCTTGTGCACAGAATGCCTGCTTGAAAAGTGGATCCCTCTGGTACAAACAGATTTTTTTAAATTTTATTTTTTCTCCTTTTTGATCCTTTGAAATTTGATCCTTTCCCTGGGCCCATGAGCAAGGAAGCAGAGACTGAAAAAAGTCTTGAAGCAAATTCTCTCAGGTTTTAGGTGAAATGACAAGGGAGCATTTTCAGGTGTTTTAAAGTCTGGAAAGCTCTGGTGCTGTGCCAGTGTAGTCATCAAATGTAGAGCAAGAACTGATCCTAAACCAGAGGAAATTACTAAAACTGAGAACACTTTTGAGCGTGTTTCATAGTTTCAACATCCCCAGCAGTTTTCTCCTGACTGATCCAAAGGTTTGTTGACCTTTGGCAGTGTTTGCTCATGGCTGTGGTGGGGGAGGAAACCTTGTTTGGTGTCAGACCCAGAGCAGGATGGATTTTGGGCCAGGCAGGATCTGCTCAGCTCCTCTCTCCTGCTCTGTCCTTGCTGCTGCCTCTCCATTTCCCAGCTATTACTGGCTCACTCGGCACTGGCAGAGATGTGCTGCTCTGTCTGTAATCCCCCATAAAGTGCGGTAAGCAAACAGATTTTAAAGGCAGCACTTAATCACACTCATTGAAAAATCATTAGGGCACGTTCCTGTGCCTCAGCGTGGCTTGGAGCTGAGAGCAACTTAAGGTTCCACTCAGGAAAAAATTTATGTACTTGTTTACTTTTGTTGTCAAATAATCAGAAGTTGTTCTTTAAACAGGTCTGAAGGAAAGGAAAAATATATCTAATGTGCCAGATGGATTTCAGCACTGTGCAAAATGAGAAATACATAAAAACAATCTCCGAGTGTGTCCATTTGATCCATCTCTGTTTAAAATATCATCTGTCACAAATACAGCTAATACAAAATCTGCTTTACTGAATGTTTTTTAATGCTATTGAGTTGGGAACCTGAAGTATACCTTAACAGCTTGAATTATCTATGATCTTTCAAAATGTATTATGACATCCCTGTGCAGTTTACAATATTTTCTCTACTAGAGGAAAAGCATCTCAGTTTTCCAGAAGTTATTCTGAATGTGCCTCTTCTCCAGTAGCATCACTGCTGTTATTCATTGCATGGTTATTAAAAGAAACATTGATTTTTTTTCTTTATTGATTGCAGGGTTCTAAGCAGAAAGCATCATGAATTGTAGATTACTTGTCCAGTACAATATCCCAGCACATTCCATAAAACAAACTATTGAACACTGTCTGGCCTTATGAGTGTTTCATTTTTAATCAAATCCCTCTAAATGGTGCTTGTACCCCTCTGGGGTATTTTTTTTCCTATTGAACAGTATTTTGTAGACTTAGAAGTGACATCTTTTTATGCTTGTTAATGTGATGTATTGAAAGGATAATTGCACGATCTGGGGAGGGAGCATGTGCAGCTTGACAAAGGCAGCGTTTGCAGGGGCTTTAATAACCTCAAAGCTTGTGGTGTGGAATTCATTGCAGGGCCATAGAGCAGATCCTACAGAACACACGTAGGGAATAAGGTTTGTTTCACCAAGCAAAAGCAGGAGTTCTAGTTCAGCATTCATGGGAATCCTGCTGCTGCTGTGTACATTACTTTGGGCAGACTGGCAGCTGTGTCCTTGTTTGGGGTTCTCTTTGAGGAATCCTCACTTCGCCTGCCCAGGAAAGCCTGAGGAGCTGCTGCTGCTTTAGCCAGGGTTTGGTGCTGGTTTAACCAGGGTTTGCTGCTGGTTTAGCCAGGGTTTGTGCTGGTTTAGCCAGGGTTTGCTGCTGGTTTAGCCAGGGTTTGTGCTGGTTTAACCAGGGTTTGGTGCTGCTTTAGCCAGGGTTTGGTGCTGCTTTAGCCAGGGTTTGTGCTGGTTTAGCCAGGGTTTGCTGCTGGTTTAGCCAGGGTTTGGTGCTGGTTTAGCCAGGGTTTGTGCTGGTTTAACCAGGGTTTGCTGCTGGTTTAACCACAATTTACTGCTGGTTTAACCACAACTTACTGCTGGTTTAACCACAATTTACTGCTGGTTTAACCACAATTTGCTGCTGGAACAAGTGGATAGCCTGAGGAACTGCTGCTGGTTTAACCAAATTTCCTGCTGGAACAAGTGCAAAGCCTGCTTTGTCTTTCAGCTGGGATCAGCTTTGTAAGCCTCTGATCTTAGTTCTTATCAAGGTTTTGTTTTTTTTTTTTTTTTTTTGAAGTACTTTTTTTAATGTTTAAACACTTTAAGCAGATGATCCCAACTATTTTTGTCCCCCTAACCAGGTTTGCGGTGGCTTTCACGGTGGAAATGAAGGAGCTGGCAGCAGCAGAGTGGGTATGTTGGTGTGCTGGCAGTGCTCACTGTATTAACAGATATGCATGCTCTAAATGTGCCCTAAATATGCAGAGAATTGCAATAATCTGCATTGTTCCCAGCCCTGCTGTCCTTTCAGAGAGAGCATTTCATGCTGATGTGCAGTCAGAGGGGCCTGGCATTAAAAGCTCTTCAGGATTAGCAGAGAGTGTGGAGCAGCTCAGGAAGTGTTTCTCTGTAACATTTAAAACAAATCATTTGTTGTTGCCCAGTCTCTCCTGATGCCAAATTGTTTCTTTTGGCATCATTTACTAAACTTTAGAATTCCTCCAGACAGCATTAGTTACAACAAAGAATTTGGAGGTATAATTTGAAAATACTTGTTTGGTCAGCTCTGGAAATAGAATAAACTTCTTAAGGTGAGCTGCAGAGGTAAATTAGATTAGATTTTTCTGTGTGCTGATCAGCAGACCGGTGAGGGGTGAGCAGGAGCCGTTGGGGATGGGAACAGCAAGGCAGGAGCTCCCTCCTGCAGGAGGTGCTGGCTCACTCACCTCACCCTGCAAACACCAGCTGAGGCTGAGCAATTAATGCAAGAAGTTAAAACAAAGTGCTTGGCACCTCTTCAGTTCCAATTTGCATCGTAGGATAGCCATTAATGCACTCTGGCCTCAAAAATAATCACTGAGAGTGCAGGATATACAATGCCTTATTCCAGCATGAATTGATTTTTAAAATCTGTTTTTATTGAAAGGATACATGAGCAGACATGGGATTTGGTATTTTATTTTACAAATGTGATTTGGTTTTAATAGTTACTACAATGAACTTCATGATGGGTAAAAGGGAAAGGGCACAGCTTCTGTCAGGGATATTAAGCAAGAAAAGGACAAAAGTAACAGAGTGTAAGGAGAGGAAACCAAACTGAGCTTTGAAATAGTTCCAGAATCAGCACCTCAAATGCTGTAAAAGATCTCGTGCCCATGGTCAGCTTTTTATTTGGAGCATAAAACTGGTGCAGAAGAATTACCTAAGCCACTTTTATTAGCATTCATTTCATTTCCCATTCTCCTCAAGCCCATTTAGAATAAGAACATAGGAGAAAATTGATCTGTAAAGAGTGAGTGCATCCCTGATCCCTGTCCCAGTGCCCTCAGAACCTCCAGGGCTGCTTCTGCTCCCTGAGCCCTCTGGAGTCCTGCAGGGCAGGAACCAGGATGCTGAACTTGAAATTCTCTCTTAACTTGCTGTTTTCAGGCTGCTGCCCCCTGCTTTTCCCACCTCCTTTTTCCTGGTTTTCTCTGTTTTGCTCCCTTTTCCTGCAGAGTTCAGTTCTGGGGTTGGCAGTGCTGTCCCATTACTCGCAGGGGTTTTTTATAATTTTATCATTTTTATCATGCTGGGAAATTCAAAGTGTTAGTCAGAGAAGGTCCACTGTTAGGTAATAAAATGATGTGATGATGTGTTAAACTATTTTTATTATTTTAAATCCTTTGAACACAAAAGCTCAAGGAAGATGAAGTCCATGGAATATCCCCAGGTAGCACAGAGCTGTTTCTTTCTCCCCCACTTCATTCCCATGTGGATTTGCTGCTTTTTTGTGTAATTTTGGTGACATTGCTCACCCTGATTCTCAGAAACCACCTCCTCCCCATCTGTGAGCTGCTTGGAGATGACTTTTTTGGTGACCTCTTTTCTTCCAGTTTCTTTTCCCAGTTCATTTTTAGTAACTGCAGAGCCTGGGCAGGGGACTGAGGGGCAGCCACAAAGGAACAACAGGGAAAACCAAAATCTCTGCAATTTAAAAAAAAAAATCACTTCTGTGGCTTCCTATTTCCTGAGCTGACTGGTTCAAGAATTGAAGTTTCTTTCTGAACTGATTTTATTTTCACTAAAAAAAAAATTATTCCACAAATCCACAGTTGGAGTTATAGAAAGATATTGAAATAGGAAATTGCTTCTCTAATCACCTAAATTAAATAACAGCGCTTCAGGAGTGATTTTGGAAGTGTAATAATTACCTCTTTTACTACAGCTATTTTAAGGTAATTTATTTTGTAATTTTTATTTGTGAATGTTCTGCAATAACCACCAGGCACCAGTTTTCCAGTCTAGGCAAGTCTTTATATTTGACAGCAGTTTCTGAAACTGAGATGTTTATAAATTGTATTACAGATAAATATAAACTGGATTTTCAAAACCAGTCTTCCAAGACCAACAGCTTTTTGGGAACTAGTGCTGATTTTCAGCTAGACACTTGAAATTTGTTTTATTCCAGAAAAACAGGGTAATGATCATAAGAGAGGATACAGAGACAAACTAAAAAATATATATTTGTACTAACTTGGTAATTGTGTTTATTGCAAAATTGATTCATTGATACTGTAAATGGACATAGTAAATATAAATTACATTGTTGGCTTTTGGAGTTACTAAATGTATCTAATAGTTTTGATTTTCAATAGTCAGAAGAAAATCGCGCTGACATGTGTTTTGTTGCTCTTTAGCGTGGGGTTTTTTTGAGGATTGAACAGATATTTTCATGTTGAACTCTGAAAGCTTTTTTCTTCTCCTTCTCTTTAAAGCCAGATGCTCGGAAGAAGATTTATGTCCAAAGCCAAGGTGAGAGCTTTGAGATCCTGGTGAAGGATTCCCTGTCTGTGGTTCCTGTGGCTGGGCTGGGTTAGGCTGCTCTGCTCCGCTCCCTAATTTGTGCTTTTTGCCTCTGCCCTTAATTGCGGCAGAATTTCAGTCTCTGCCTCAGTTTCCCCTCTCTGGGTGCCCTATGGACGCTTTCCCAGGAATCCCAAAGGGCAGCTGGCACTGGGGCAGCTCTGACCTTCTCCAGAGGCTGCAGAAGGTTTGAGGGTGGGGAGTTCTTTCCTGGAGCCCCCAATTCCTTAAAATGCTCCAGGGTGAGTTCCCAGCCCAGTGAGGGCCAAGTCCACCACTGACAGTCCAGGGAGCACAGCTCAGTGTTTACGTGTGATTGCTTCATTTCCTCATTTATTTAATTAATAATAACTCTCTGTGCATTCCAAAACTCATTCCACTTTGTGTATTTCGCTTTCAAAGAAAGTAACATCCTTTTCCAGGCTGTGCTGTTGAAATAACTCATTGTGAAGTCTGCTTAGCCTGTGTTTAGTTTATATTTATGTCCCTTGGGAGATAATAGTTAAATAAGCGATTAAATAAATTAATAAATGAGTTTCATCATTAAAATAATTAATCTTTAACATAAGGAAAAACACATTCATTAATATTCAGGACAGATTAATATTAAAGTTGTGTATAAATGTGCTTTATTTCCTTTTGTGTTGAGGGCTCTGCGTCGCAGGTGCCCTGGATGTGTTCTGGAATGATGTCCCCCCTCAGGTGATGCTGTCCCAGGTGCAGTTTAGCAAGGCAGATTGAGCAGGGCTGTGCTGGGAGGTCCCAGCACTGGGGATTGTGCAGCATTTCCCACTGGGGAAGGGCTGCACAGCCTGGCACTGCTGGCGAGGGGAGCTCAGGGTGCCTGCAGAAATAATTGCTTTATTGGACTTCCCAAAGCCTTCGGGAGCCACAGCTCAGCCGTGCAGGGGACATTTAACATGGGATCTCCTTTTTTACACAGGAATCAAGGCTACACCCAGTGAAACATTTGATTGGTACCAATTTCTACAAAATGCAGGTAAAACTCATTTTTCCCCTTTGTTTACTGTGTTTATTCCTAATAGGTTTATTCCTAATTCCTTGACAGCTTCCTAATAGGTGTCAAGGATGAAAGAAATTTAGAATCAGAGCTAATAATAATAACTAATTATGTAACAAAATGCCTTAATTCTGTGGGAAATGGCAGAACATCCATCAGATGGGTCTGGGCCATCCAGCAGCCAGCGTGGCTCTGGATCTGTGCTCTGGGCAGGGCTGGGCTGCACCAGCAGAGCTCCAGGCTGGGGCAGGGCCCTGGAGGTCCATGGGGAGCACAGCACAAATCCCTGAGCTTTGTTCTGTCCCAGCCTTTACTCTGTCCCAGCCTTTATTCTGTCTGTCCCAGCCTGGGCTGCCTGCAGAGAAAAATAAATGTTTGTTTGTTTGGGTTGGAGCTGCCTCTGCTCTGCTCTCACCTGAGCAGGGCCAGGTGAGGCAGGGCCCTAATTCTGAGTCACCTCATCATGGCAATCTTTGATCACTCCATCTTTCCCCAAAAGGGTGATTTATAGGCATTTCAGCCTGTAAAACGTTTCAGTTTTACACCCATCAGCCTGATCTCTGCTGTTGCCCGTGCTGCAGGTGAATCCTCCCCTGTGGCTTTATCCCATCAGGAGATGGGAGCCCTCACCCAGAGCCAGGGCAGTCTGGAGCTGAGCATTGTGAGGTTGTTTTGTTCTCAGTAAATCACAGTGCCCCCAAGATTAATGATTGTCTGGAGTGAAATGATTTGTCACTTGCTAGCACAGCCTCAGTGTTGATTTGATCTCTTGTCCAACCATTTTGTGATTAAATGAGCAGTCAACAGATTGAGGAGGGGGAAGCTCCCCCTAAAGTGAATTTCTAATGTATTAGAGACAGTTTTTTTGCCTAATGTGTGCTAATGCAAAAGTGCGAAATAATTCATAATGTACATGAAAAGCAAACTAAAATGTGACTCTAACATCTGTGCCTTATTAAATAATAACTTGGAAACTGGCATCAGATTATTCAGTATTGTTTTTATGACTGTTTCATCTGATTTATCTCCTCTGCCTGGTGCCTGTGTCCATCTCTGGTGGCAGCCCACAATTTCCACTTCTTTTAACACTGCACATGGGCTCAGGCTTTCTGGCTGTACCTTTGGCTTTCCAGGGACTAATTAGGAGCTCCCAGTGAACTGCTTCTTTCTGGGCATTTGCAGTTCCAAAGTGTTTAAAATTCCACTAAACCTGGAGCAGTCAGAAGCAAACCCTCAACAGCAGGAGGCAGTTTTGCTCAGGAGGATGTGGTTTTGGCAGTGTGGGCTTGCACAATGTGAAAAGACCCTGAGCTTTAATGCAGATGAAGCTGCCCAGTCTCCTTCAGCTCATGGCATTTGTGAGGTGTTTTTTTTAAATATTTTTTCATGAAGTTCTATTCCATGTCTGAAGGCACTGGATGATTTTTGGGAGAAACATTTCTGCAGGTAACCCCTGCCTGTGTCTTTAGCAGAGCCCCTGAGCATTTGTCACGTTCAGGATTCCCAGGACAGAATTCCCAGCACAGCTCACAGCCTGCAGTGCAGGATTTATTCCATCTGAGGCATCTCTGTGAAACACCCTGGGTGTGCAGGGTGCCAGGTTGTTCTCTCCAATGAAACAGGTTATTCAGAACGATCCAGACCTCCCTCCACAGAACAGGCTTCCTGTGAATATTCTTTGTACTCATGTTGTCAGTCAGAGGAAACATTTGCTCACTTTAAATATGACACCAATACCCAAACAGCCTCTTTAAATCAATGTAATGGCTTCACAAGGAGTTTAGTGGTGGCTTTAAGTGAGTGGCAGAAGGCACCAAATGCACTTTGTGGTGGGAGAAGTGCAGCCCCCAGATTTGACCAAACTCTGAGGAATGCCAGCTTTGTGTGCATTCCATTTGATAGTTTGGATGCCTATGTAAATAGCAATTGCCTGACACAAATGGAAGCAGGGCTGTGAAGGGGTTTTGCTGTTGTTATTAGTGCAATGCAACTCAGTACAAAAACCATGGAATTGGTATTTTTTTCATAGTCTCAGAGCCGGGAGCTGCAGAGGTGATGGTGTGGGGTTATGGCTGTCTCCTGGCTGCAGAACCTCCAGGGGCTGGCTAGTCAGCATTCACTGGCTAAACCCACAAAAAAGGCTTTTAGAGTAAATTTGCATTGTGGGCAACAGTCAGCTTCACAGTTTGTTTGTGTGGCTGAGAGACTGTGAGCAGCAGCAGCCAAAGCAGGGAGATTGCAGCTTCTCTTTGGGAGCTCACACAGCACCTGCAGCCCTTTGGGAGCCCAGCCTGTTCCAGGAGGTTTTGCTGCCTGTGCCAGCCTGGAGACCAGGGCAGGATGCTCAGGCTGCTTTCCCTGACCTTGCATTGCAGGGATCTCTATGCAGCACGGTCTGTTTGGGTTTAGCAGTTTCAGAAGCCCTATCTATAGACTTGGGAGAGTCAGGGGAAGTTCAGCCTCGTGCTGGAGACAGACTGACAGAAAATAACAAGGCAGTTTAGGAAAAGGATAAACCTGAGACTGATCTGCAGCAGCTCTGATCACAGGCCTGAAGTCATCACTGCAGGATGAAAAGCTGCCTTTGATTCTCGATGGGGCTGAGATACAGACCCCAGTAAACATCATGTGATGAGAGGATGCAGATAACCAACAAAGCCTGCACTAACGCACTGAGAAATCTTTGTTTAGCCAACAAACAGGGCTTAAAGCTGCTCCCATGGTGCTGTGGAACCTCAGGGTCATCACATGCCTATTGCAGCAGCAAATAAAACACGCAATATGTTTTATTTATATGCTTTTGTAGTTTGAGTTTTCAACTCTCCTGTAATTTCTGCTTGGTGGCAGGGCTGTTCTCTGAGCTTGAGAAGTTTACATAAGCTGTCATGGCACAAGCAGGGTTTTACAGAGGCATTAGATTTTCCTGGAGCTGTGCTGGAAAGAGAGACCCACATAAGAAAAACTGAACAGTAAAAGTTTGTGCACTTATCCAGCTGAGTGTAGTAAAACCTGTATGATAGCAGCAATAAACTGAGTTCCCAAAGTGATCTGAAAGTGCAGAGCTTTTTGTTGTCTGATCTGTTAGAAATAATGAGAAACAGGGGAGAGAAGAATTGATTGAGAATTTTGCACTCTAATTTTTCCTGCATTAGTAGCCTGTCCCTGGAAGTTTCCAGGTTCATTTAACTCTGTCTTCTCCAGGATGTCAGCAGCCCCAGCATTGCTGGCTGGGAATGACAGTGTGAGCACTTGGGGTGAAGTCACTGCCCTCACCTTGGAGGGAGCAAACTGCTGTGTGGGGTGACATGGCACAGGAATGAACATCTGGGGTCTGAAAAATCAGTTTGGGATTGCTGAAAGGAGGGCTCCTGGTGGTGCCATAAACTGATGGATTTCCTCTTTGAGGACAGCAGTCAGTGCTGGCAGGTGCTCAGGAGGTGGATAAATGAAATCTTTTCAAAAGACCTGCTGTGGTTCAAAGTGACCAGGAAAGAAAATCAGGTTATTCTCCCTCACCATCTCATCGTGGCTTAGGTTTTGTTTCTGAACAGAACCAGAAATGGACCAATAACCTAAATAACATGGGCTTGGTGTTGTTCTCTGAGGGTCTGTAGAGAACAACAGTGAACTTGAAACCAGGCCTTGGAAAATTAATTTTTAAATCTTCTTCTTTACCTCTTAGCAACCTAATGCTTGGTATTACTCATTCACTTCCAGGCCTACAGCTTTCAGTAAGATTAAAGATTTGCAGTAATACATTTATTTTTATTGTGCACCTATGACTGCTGCATTTTTTTCCTGATAGTACCTGGAGGGATGGAGTTAAATGAATCTACACTTCCAAAATCTCTTTAGATAACAGTTGTACTTATTCCTGCCTTTCTTAGAAAAACCATGTCCCTGCTGAAGCTGCAGAAATTATTCAGTGTTGACAATTCAGGCTTTTGTGTTGGCTGCCTGTGCTCGTGTTTTGCTGTGCAGGTTTTGTTAATGGCCCAATGTAGAGTGTCAGTGTCAGAGCCCTGTTCTGTGCAGGGACAGCAGCAGGGCAGGGG